ATTAAAGAGCACTGGGCCCAACACTGATTGCAGCAATCTTTCAGGTTTTGAAATGAAAGAAAGTTAAGAGCTCAGTATCTATTTGGCCTTTTCAGCCAAACAAGTATTTCCCTTGAAACCCTTGGCAAGTTGAATAACAACAGTACCTGTTCCAATTCTTGCTCCAATGTTACAGCAGAATCAGCCATTTTCTGAAGCTGCTCTTTCTCATCCTCAAACTCCTCTAGTTTTCTCTGCAAGTCTTCTTCCACCATGGTTTTAGCTTCCTGGATCTGCATGAAGGCAGCTTCTTGATCTAACATGTCAGCCTGCACAGAAAAAGCAAGGAATCAACTTCTGGAGTTTCAGTGGAGGGGCAGGAGTGGAGAAAGAAAAATAGGAAGAGAAAAAAGTAAATTAAAAAAATTAAAAGCAATTTCACATCCTTACAAAGCACTTTAGTGATTTAGAGTGACTTTCAATTCAGTTTTCTCTTGAAGAAGTTCATGAATAGGCAAAGGGGAACATTTACATTGGCCTTTAAAATTCAATTAAACAAGGGCTGAAACTTCAAGTATTGCCTTTGAATGGGAAACACATGGCCTGGCTCCCTCTTCCTGCTCATAATGCCATGCAAATCTATTTACTTTGAAATATTTACTGTTTTTATAATGCAGCATTTAAACCAATTCATAAGAATTCCATGTTACTTTACCAGAATAGCCTTAAGTTTGCCAAAAATAAATGCACAACCCAGGCAGAACAAAATTCACAAAAACCATCTACAACCATACCTCAATATTCTGTAGCTGTGCTGCAATACGCTCCTTTTCCTTGATGGATCTGTGCTGGGTTTCAGTCAGCTGCTGAGACAGTGCCACATTCTCTAGTTTGAGATGTTCCAGCATACCTGCTTGAGTCATTTGCCCAGCCTAAAGAAAGTGGAAAAAAAAAATCACAGATCAATATTGACAGTCAAAATTTGGCTAATGAGTTTAAGGGTTTTATAAAAAAAAATAAAAATTGAGTCTGCGTGTACTTTATCTTAGCTACTACTTTAACGGCACTTTAGTGCTTTGGTTACATTTATGCCTCACCATTAACATGAGCTAACACCTCAGGATGAAATATAAAATACTACTTTTCCCCTGCTCACCACCTGAAGAACACAAGTGAGACTGTTAATCCCCATCTTTGTACTGATACTGGGGGTTGCCCCAACCCAGGTGCAGCACTTTGTCCTTGGTTTTGTTGAACCTCATGAGGGTCTCATGGGCCAACTTCTCAAGCTTGTCCAGGTCCCTCTTAATGGCATCCTGTCCTTGAGGTCTGTCAACCACACCACTCGGCTTGGTGTAATCAACAACCTTGTTGAGGATGCACTCAGTATCCTCATCTATGTCATTGATGAAGACATTAAATAGCACTGGTCCCAGTACAGACCTTGAGGGACACTACTTGTCACCAATGTCCATTGGGACACTGAGCTGTTGACAACCACCCTCTGGATGTGACTTTCTAACCAATTCTTATCTACTAAACAATCCACCCATCGAATCCATCTCTCCAATTCAGAGAGAACCATGTTGTGGGAGACCATATCAAAGGCCTTACAGAAGCCTACTTAGATGACATCTGTAGCTCTTTCCTTGCCCACTGGTGCAGGCAGTCTATTGCAGGCCATTAAGTTGTCCTCTGGATATATTAACATTAGAAAAAAATAGATTCTCAGTTCCTTCATATGCAAGTAAACCACAATACCTGTATGTTGGCCATCTCACTCTGCAGCCTGACCCGAGCCTCCTGCGCCAGCACGAGCTGCTGCTGGTACCACTGCCGCACATTTTGGAGAGATGTGATCTCTGTTTCAGATGCCTTTAGCTTATTGGTCAGTGTGGTCCTCTCCAACTGCACCTTCTGGAGCTGGTTCTGCAAGGAAGCCAACTGCTGTCGCAGATCATGAACTAGAAAAAGAAACAACTTGGACTAGTGCACTCCAGTCTGCTATTTTTAAGCACACATTTTCAAGGATTATTGCCATATTCATAGCCTTTTCTAACTTTCTTTTTGAACAAAAGCAAATATGCCTAATTACATAAAGATTGGCTTTTCCTGCAAAAGTGCTAGAATCCAAAGTATCAGGGCTTAATCAGAATGAAATTAAACTAAATTAATCACTTCTGTAAGCTTTCATAGTTCCTTAGAGGCAGAAAATATGAGCTAATTAAACACCAGGAAGTAGGTGTCCTGACATATAGAGTCATCACTACAAATCACTATGTGCACAATTTTCTGAACAAACAGCCACTGTCAAACAGTTACTGGAGTAAATATTTATGCCTCCCTCCCTGAGCTGGCAGTGGCAGCTTGCAAACTGACACTTCTGTGACACAAAACCCCAACAATTATCCTACAAGTCAGACCATTTTATTACTATGACATCAATTAAACACAAATTAAAATGTCTTCTTCCTCCTGGACTTCAGAATTATGTTGAAATAAAATGCTTTGTGGAATAACAAATTTCAAAGACTGACATTTACACCATCCCACCTGTGCTGTCTCTGGTGAGAACATTTTTTTGCATATCTTCAACCTTCCGCAAGAGTCTTTGGTATTGCTCCTCTGCTAACTGCAAATCATTATTTGAAGAAGCCAAACTAGCATTCTTTGCTTCCAAGGTATTTTGCAGGTCAGCCATTGCTCGTTCCAGATCCCAGCAAGACTGCTTTAATGTGGCCACTTCTGAGCTCAGAGATTCCTGCTTCTGCTGGCTGCTTTGGCTGTGTTCCATCTGTGCCTGAAGCTTCATGTTCAAAGCTGCAAGTTGGGCTTGTAGCTCAGTCTTCTCTTTGAGAGCCTGAATGTGTCCAGAAGATCAAAATACAGAGGTCTTAAGTGAAAATACATTAATGGCTGACTAAAAAAGAAGCCCAGCAAAATGGCTCTCTCCTCCTAGGAGGGCCTGTGGTCCTGTGGGGAGAGGAGCCCACACTAGAGCAGGGTTTCTGGCAGGACTTGTGATATCACCAGGAACCCATGCTGGAGCAGCCTGTTCCTGAAGGACTGCACACTGTGGAACGGACCCACAATGGAGCAGCTCCTGAAGAACTGCAGCCTTGGGAAGGACTCATGCTGGAGAAGTTCACAGGGGATGACCCATGGGAGGGACCCAGAAAGGAGCAGGGGAAGAGCGAGGATTCCTTCATGAGATGGAGGGAGCAGCAGAGACATGTGATGAACTGACAGCAATCCCCATTCCCCATTCCCCTGCACTGCTGAGTGGGGAGAAGGTAGAGAATTTGGGAATGAAGTTGAGCCCGGGAAGAAGGGAGCGGTGCTGGGGGAAGCCGCTTTTAAGATTAGTTTTTATTTCTCATTACCCTACTCTGATTTGACTGGTAATAAATTAAACTAATTTCCCCAAATCAAGTCTGTTTTGTCTGTGATGGTAACTGGTGAGTGATCTCTCTGTCCTTATCTAAACCCATGAGTTTGTATTTTTTCTCTCCTCTGTCTAGCTGAGGACAGAGCAGCTTTGCTGGACACCTGGCATCCAGCCAGGGGCAGCCCACCAAAGCATCCTTGTAAAGTACATTCAACATTCAACAGTGTTTTTACAAAACACAAGTCTACAACTAATGAGCAGGATGCTCTTGAAAATCAGTTAAAATATTAATGTGATTTGCTAAACACAGAATTTCAAATTCATGTTCTACCTGATTAGCTTCTAGTGAAAGTGCTTCTAGTTGGCCTTCAAGTCTCATCTTCTCCTTCAAAACCTGCAACATTTCATCATGAGTTCCTGCGATAGAGCTTTCCATAGAAACACTGGGGACAGAGACAGCACATACACAGTTACAGGGTTAGAATACAACACTCACCGAGCTGAAGAAAAGTGAAACTGCAATTAATAAGTACTCAGACTCCATGTGTGACCTAGACTGCAGGACATTTTTCTGGCTTTATGCTAAATCCAGAACACAATGTAATGACATTCGTTACAAAGAGAGAAAGAAATTCTATTAATGCTAAGGTTTTATACTTTAGTTTCCTGTATTTGCAGCAACTAGAATCTAGTGTGGCATCATGTATTTGTTATTTCACAGCAGTGCAGGGGTTGACTTCATTAGAGTCTGGATCTGCATATCCCATTTTTAAGCAGACAACTGGACATAATGGGAGCAAAAAACCTCCACAATTATCGCACGCAACTGTCTGCTTTAATGTGCCTGAGAAACATCAACAGCTCCTGCAAAAGAAGGCAGAACACGTATTTGGTATAAGGGATTCCTTGTGCTCATTCCCTGCTGCACACCCAAGGCATCTAGAGAAAGATCTTCTCTCATTAGTGTAAGAAGTAAATCTAAGCTGAAATAATCGTCAACAACTGATTGTACACCTTAACATCTCTGGGCATTACACTTTATTCTGACCCGGGGAGCAAAAAAAGTAATTTCAAAATTAGGATGTGCAAAACATGCATCTGCAGACAACTGAAAAAAACCACAACTGCATTGTAAGGGTTTCACCAGTCATGCACTTGCTTTCTGAATCAAAATTTAATACCTATCGTATACACAGAAGCTTAGGAGACTAAATCTCCTTCTAAAAGAGCTGAAGAGGATAAGAGTATCTAGGACAAGACTCTTGGCATTTCTTAACCGTGGGGTCTGGAAGGTACGTGCATAGATCAGGAAAAGGACGATAATATCACTGAGGCAATCCAGTCTACCCTTTCAGACTTCACAGACTCATCAGTGACTCAGCGAACAGTCCTGCTTCACAAGGCAATCCAGAGAGAAACCACTGCTAGCAGTACATTTTACACAGTCAGTGGCAAAAGTATCTTTCTCTAAAGACACACTTTGTAAATAGGTACTCAAGTAAAGTGACCTTTCAGATTCTCTAAAAGAATCTGTAAGTTAACAACAGATTTGATCACATTGTCAGTTAAAATTGGATCCAAAGTCAGCAGAAGGTAATAGCCTGCCTACTCCAGGCAAGTATGCCTAACAGTGGCCTCACTGTGATCATTCTTACCTGCTAGAAATACTGTCTCTCCTACTCCGTACTTCCCCATTAGCTTCTTGCCCTTGGGCTTGATGCTCCACTGCCGCAGCCTGCAGCACCTCACTGATGGAAGGAAATTGCCCCATTGCTTCAGGATGTATCTTCTGGCCATTTATTGTATATGGAATATCCTGTTTGCCTTCTGTGTTCTGTAAACTGTTATACAGACCTTTTCCTGACACACTGCTGTAGGTAGAGCTGTCACTCTCATTTCCATCCAGCCTCATTCCCACTTCACTCCCATCAATCTCTGAAATGCTGTCTCCTGCCAAGGAGGAATTCTCTAGTCGATCATCCGTGTCAGAGGGTAGACTAATCTCCGAAACAACCGATGTTGGACCACTTCTGCTTTGGGTCACAGTCCCACCAGATAAATCAGCAGCCACAACATTCCCAGTAGTGTTTCTAGTGTCTGAATCTTCAGTTCTGTAGTCAGCCAAGGACCGGATCTTACTGGGCTTAGATTTTGAACTTCTTCTCTCCTTTGAGGATGCTGGGAGTCCCAAACTACCCAGTTTTGGCCCCCTGGGGACACTGGTCCGCAAAAAGGAGTATTCTTTTGTCATGGCTACAGTGCTAGCCCTTGGCAAGATTTCTGGATTTAACATCAGCTCAGGATCTAGGGTGCTGGAGGGACGGGTTTTGGATGTAGACTGACTCGACTAAAAGAAGCAAAGAGTCACTGATAAATTCCAGAATGTTAACTTTGAAATAGCATCAAGGTTTGTGTTACTGTAACTCAAGTTGTAAAGTTTTACACTGCTATTTAATATACATATCCTTTCCTAAATTACATCATCAATCAACCCTACCAAGGTTCAGTATATGCATGTTGAATATGTTCAAGGTAGACTTTAAAATCTAACTGGAAAACACAGGCAAAATTGAACATTTAGATCACTCAAGTTTTGTGTTCGTTTTTTTTCCCCCCCTCTATTTTAAGTAGCATGAAATGGTACATTACTGATGAGGGAACAGACTCAAATTTTGCCTGTCCCCTGAGAAAAATATGCTTTCTTACATGTGAGAAAACCACTGAGTGTTTTAAGTCAGAGCACAGAAATGGTAAAGCTTTCAAGCTTCTCAACAAAACACTGAATCTAGAAGATCTGCTGGGTGGTACTCACTCTTTCTTGATGTCTCTTCACTCTGTATTGTTTGAGCTGTTCCTCTAGACGTCTTCTTGCCTGAAGTCTGATTTGCTCTTCTTTTTCCAGTGGGAGTGAAGACTCTACTGAGCCTGTGAGTGAAAGGAATCTTTACAGTCAAACAGAAAACTCCAGCACAGGAAAATGTGATGCAAAAGGAAAAAGCCCCTTCTCCAATCAGCAACATGCTTCATGCTTAAGCAAGAAACGAAAGGAAAGACCACTGACATGCACCTCAAACTACCTCCTTCACATATATCCTTGTGTAAGCATTGATAAAACCTCTGGACTTCTGCTGCTCAGTTTGCAAATGTTGTAGTTCCTTCACATATATATGACAAGAGATTATACAGCCAAAGAAAACCCACTGCTGTCATTCAATCTCACCTGTTCTGCATTTCTAACAGTACTAAAATTATAAAGCTAAGCAAGACCTACACAGTCCACCCATTCCCTACAAGAAAGATGTTCTCTAGATACATTTTCTTACCTTTTGTTAACTCACATTAAATCTTTCCTGCAGTAAACCTTTTTAAAAACACTATTTCAGAAAATTCCAGAGCACCAGACTTTAATATAAAGGCTTCCCCTTCTCTCCCCTTCATTACTCTTCTCTTCCCTCCTTTATTACTTAGCTTTAAAATCACCTGGTTCTGCTGTTCTGGTTGTTTGGGTTTTTTTAATGTCACCTGTTACTCCTAATAATCAGGAAGGTTAGAAAAGCTTCAGCCCCAGAAAGCATGAATTCCCCTCCAGTGTAAGAGCCATTTTTGAAACAGTAAGGCACATGCCTTAGGTGCAGCAGAGAGTGGTTTACTGAAAGAAAATGAACTGTAGTTCTAAATAAAAGCTTACTGCAAAAATGAGGTTTAGTTCAAGCTCAAATGATGTTACAAGAGTCCAGAGCCAGGTTCAGAGTAAAAAGCTTTACGCAGCAAGAGAAAGCAGGGGCACCATCATAAACAGATGCTTACACAATTCAGTTTCTTGCATGGGAAGACTTAGTTTGAGAGACTGCAAAGCTTCTTTTCTAAGAACTATGCCCTCAGCACTAGTTCCCTGAGACTTCCTTAGGCTGTCATGGAAACCAGTCACACCTGGGGATGACTCTTCACCCTGCTCACTGCTGGTGGGGTCAAAAGATACAGGAGAGTCGGGGAAGAGTGACTCTGGCCCATTCTGGCAGGCTTCAACTTTGCTGTTTATCTCCAGGCTTCCCTCTTCATTTCGCACTTCCTTGATGTTATTACTGGTAGCTGAAAAAGAAAGTTTTACTGAGCTACATTTTAAGCCACCCCATTTATCTTCACACCTCCACCCAAATACAATGCTAGCACTATTGCCTGTAGACTGTAAGAACATGGAAATTGCTACTGACAGCAACTGGCAAGAGGAATTTTATAAAGGACTTTTGATCCTTCATTTCAGAAGAGCAGAACAAGTACCTTTCATTTGCTTTACTATGTTTGCTTCAAGCAGGACCTCAAAAGTGATCATATAAAATACCTTCACAACTTCACATAGAGTTTTTAAATCTTGTTAGGTGTAGAAGCATGAAACACCAAGTGTAAGGAACATAAGCTGAGCCACACTGAGTGGCAACCTCCTACAAATAAGACTCGCAACTGCAGGCCTGGGCTGAATGATTCAGCTATTTGGTATGCTGCAGGGCACTGGGGAGAAAGCATCCACCATCCAGACTTCCAGCCTGGGCCAAGCAGTTTCTTAATTTTAAACTGTGTTTAAATTTTTTTCAAATGGGACATCTTCATCAAAAGTACAGTAGCAAAGCTCATACATATCAAAATAGTAAATCTACCAACTAAAAGGCAATTCAAGAACCTTAAACCAGCACAGATGTTTGTACAGCGAACCAAGTCAGAGGAAACTGACTGAGGAGACTGAACGTGGGTAAAAATAAAAAGCTTTCTGTCTTAGGTTGCCAAAACCCATCAACTCTCTTAGATTAGAATTAAAGCACTTTTGGATATCTTATTTGTCACAGAGACAACATTTTCAGGCCACTGTACCAGTTCACTGATTTAGTTCATCATGTGGTCACAAAAGCACTTGCAAGCACAGTGGAAGGGGTGGATGCAACAGGGATGTAAAGGAGGACAGAGCACAGGACTGTCTTTTCAATGACTGACATTTTAAAACTAAAAGATTGTCAAATCCAAATCTAGAATAGATATCAGTGCTAAGAATACCCACAAGAAGCAAAAAATAAGACAACAGCTCACATGTTCAGAAATATTGTTTGTCTTTCAGAAACCGCAGCTATTACTGCATCAGATCTGTACTTTATTTACATCTTTTTCTTCACAACTGGGAGTGGTTTACACATACAAAAGAGATGCTGGAGCAAAATTCTGAAGGAATGGTTTCCTGGCAACTTTCCAAGGCCATGAGACACTCAGAATCTAAACACTCCTTGAGCTAAAATAATTTAATTGCAGCAGTATCGATACAGCTGCAGTCTTTTTAGAACAATGAGCAAGGAGATGCAATTAGACTGAAAACAGCAGAAAGACACACTACCTAATTGTAAGCCACAATTCAATGATCCAACATGAGAACACAGCAACATGTGATCTCCAGTTTCATAAAAGATGAATGAATCATCATGTAACTACTCTCTGCCAGTCTGCTAACAGGCAGTGTAAGAAATGCAAAGAACATCTCAGGCCTCCACTCTCTTGACTGTGCCAAGATGACAAACCTGTGGTACAAGAAGGCTAACAACTTCATCACGTCACCTCCTCTGACATAAGGAACCTCTGTACTTCTGTGTATCTACGCAGTGGCAACACACACACACCCTCCACCCACCTACCTCCATGCCCTTGTATACCTGCCAGGGAAACATGGAGATTTCAGTTCAACACACGGAAAATACTTTCACAATGAAAGAAGTTAAATACTGGAATGGGTAGAGAGGCTGTGGAACCTCCCCCTGAAGAGATTTTCAGAATTCAACAGAAGGCCCTTAGCAACCTGATCCTGCTCCAGAACTAGGTCTGCTCTGCGCATGAGGTTAGACTTGACAACCCACAGAGCCTCCTCCCAACTCATTTGATTCTATAATCTACTCAGATCAGTGGTCTCTAAAGTTTCTTGTAAACAGCTGCATGATTGTTTTATTATAGAGCTTGTCTACATCTAAGCTATTTTGAGATAATTTGGAGAGCACATGCACCTCTCTTCCCTAAAGGGAAGTTGAGGGAGACTTTTTAAGTACATTTTGGTATTTTGCCTAAGCAATTTAATTTATTAGGAAAATTTCTTTTGCCAGAATAAAGTATTCCAGTCATGAGCTTACTCCCTGTAACAGACATTTCAGAACTATTAGTTCTGGAGAGTTTCTGGTGTGTACTCTTGGAAACGCTATCAGAAGACAGATAACACGCTGAAAAATAAATACTCAACTGACAGCCAAGAGTACTCAAGTTAATAGTTTTGTTTTGATTTCAAAGGAACAAGTCCTACAGCAAAAAACAGTCTTCCTCACACAGAGCTACAGCCTTCACTCAACTTGCTTAAAACTGCTGTGCAAGAAATTCCTGATCAAGGAAAAAGGTCCCTCTGCATCAACTGAATAATAAAACATATGACTGTATAAAAGCCTAGGTAAGACTACAAAATGATCTGGTGCATATGAAATCACTTACTGTTAATTTCATCTGTATTAACGGGCTGTGACTTGGCTTCACAATCCAGAAGTTCTTCAGAGCAGCCAGGAGCCCCATTACTGCTTCTGTTCTCCAAGTGAATATCTTGTTGGACACACGAGGAGTCCATGGTAAAAACAATCCAGATCCCTGGAAAGTTTTTGTTCTGAATAATTTACCACCAAGTGAACTACTAAGTCCTGTTTCTCTCCATCGGCAACAACAGCGTTGAGATGTTCCACAGGAGCAGAGTTCTGAGCTTCACAGCTGCTGGTGTGCACAGACAGCTACTAACTCCAGATCATGAGAACAGCTCACAGCCAAAGTCGGAATCACCAAGGAGCTGCATTCTCTAGAAACAAAATGTAGCGATTTACAAACACTTACTAGAGCTTTGAAAATACTAGTTACGAAGTGCCCACCAATTGCTCTCCAACTCAACAGGGGGTAATAACAGAGACAATTAAACAACCTAGTATCCAGCTTTTGTGGATAAGAAGTGATCTGTTCAACAGCTTTTTTTATGATTTGTTTTTTTTTAGTAGTACTGATATACAGTGTAACAATGCAACAAGATAGTATTTAGTAGGACAGCTGATTTAAGATCACTGTTCCTTTTAATGGAAATGCCTCTCTGGCCTCAGCTTTAAGAAGAGAGCCAGGACTGAACATGGCATTTTGCTCTGTAAATTACAGTCTGGACTTTCATACCATGTATTTAATTTCAAGAACCTACTACCATATAAGTTTCAATAACTTTAGTTACACCGCAGTATGGAATTCAGATTTATTTTAAATTAAATTACATCATTACTGTTTACTTGTCTGCAGGACAACAAGTATGTATCACTGCACAGAACCTGAACTACTAATTGCAGCATGCACTGGCAGTCAGAACAAGGCCTGGGCTGCAGTTCAACACTGCCTTCTCCTGTGACGAGTCAAAAGGATTTCCAAACACAGTTTATAGAATTTGCAAATTATTCTCCAGACATTCAGATCTAACCTTTGGGTAAAGATCCAGCCAACTAAAACAATCTGACAGAAACTGTTGTGTACAGTGACTTGAAGTATTTAAATTTTGTTCCAATAGTTACTGACAGCTGAATTCAGATTAGAAAATGTTATGGTTCTAATTAACTAAATAAACAAAAAATCCCCAGTTAAAAAAGGAAGGAGGGGGTTGTGGGGACAATGTCAAATCAGGAATATTTTGATTGCAGTTTTACATGAACACAAACATTTTAAGCCACATTCCTTTTGTATCTCCAGAGAGCACTTGTGTAACTGCTCCTGTCCCACACTACCCTGGTCACCCAACAACAACAGCACCAACATCTCCAAAACGTTACTGGAGCTGCAAACAGCTCAGGGCACACAGGAAGACAGAGTTATATAGGTGACCCTTATGTAGGTGAGCTGTGAAGGAGCCTGAAACCCAGAGCACATTTCTAACAGAGAAACCTCCAGCAAACCGAAAGATGAACACCCTCACTGGGATTCCTTACTGATTTTTAAAGATGTTCAGTATAATAAACCTTACAATAAAGCTTCCAGAAGAACTGCCATCGTGTAGCAAATAGAACAGGTCACCAAGAGGAATTACAAACAAAGGCAAGCAAGATTTCGACTGCTTACACCTCGGCAAAATCCAGCCAACAGGAGATGCTTGCTATCCTTGTTGTAAAACATGTTTTAATCATCAGCGTGATGAAGAATGTCTTTCTCCTGCACAACCCATTCCCAGTATAAAGGGTTAGAGGATTCTGGCTTCGGAACCCTTTTGTATCCCTGAGTTTAGCACGGGCAGACAGACACGCACAGATGTACACACACACACACGGATGCAGACACACCACGGGCACACGGCAGCAACCTCACAGGGAAAGGAACTGTACGAAAACCACCCATTTCGCTTAAAACACCAACCACCGGGCGGGCAGCGGGGCCCGGTCCCAGCCCGGCGAGGCGCCCGGCACGG